TCCTATATCTTCATCTAAGTAAGACAAGCATATCTATATGGCTAGGTGGACATGGATTATTCATTCTCTTCACAAAAGATGAACACTGAGACAAAATTACAGATTTTGAACTTATCTCTTTGTCCAAGTGGTGAGGCCTCAATTAGGTTGGTAGAGAAGCTTTGACTTAACACCACGAACCTCCTTAGAGTCTTAATTTTCTATGTGGTTGGGTCTAGGTATGACTAAGACCAAATGGTGGACCGATCTTGGTTTAGCAGTAGGTTAGAGGCCACAGGAGAGGGGATTTTGTTTAGGGAAGTGATTTTAGAGTATGGAGATGCTTTTGGAACAATCAATTTGAAATTTTGGTGGGGGTTGATGCAATGACCAAAAAAGTTTTGATTTTTAGTTGGAAAATTAGAGTTTCCCAAAAGTTTGTGCATACCATCTCATTTGACCATGAGGGGTGATCAATTTATAGACCCGACCATGGTGTTCAATTGGCCAAGTTAAGGGATCCAAGGGGGTGCTTATGTGGAGGGAAGACAGGGGCAAGGGTGGTTCAATGAGAGTGACCCACCTTGGATGGGTGAAATTTTGGATTTTTGCTAATGGGTGGCTCTCGAATCTTGGTTTTCCACCAGCCATGGTGGCTAGCCAGGTCATGGGAGGTTACTATCTGGCTGTGGAAGGTCAGGGTGGAGAGTTGTGAAGCTAATTGAGTTAAAGCATGGGTAAGTGTGTTGGATCAAAGTGGAAAGGGGTTTGGGATAAGTTTGGGTTTGAGTTGGGCTAAGCTCATGGAAATGGGTTTGGATGGCCACCCAAGGTGGCTAGGATATGGTGGCCATCAGGGGTTTGGGTGGTCAAGTCCCCATCAAAGAGATTAGGGCTTAGTTATGGGTTAGAGTAAAGCATGGGAAGTGTTAAGTACCTTGGGGAGAATCATTAAAGGACCTCCTCCTTTTGCCACTTAGGGAATGGTGGCTAACATGAAGCTCACAAATGGCTTCATGGCTTCCATTTATCTTGGGTAAAGCCATATTGCGAGCCTATGGCTCATGCATGGCCTACATGGCTTACCTTAAAGAGAAGCGTTGCGAACTTCAGGTACTTGAAAAAAATCTCATGAATTCCATGTTTAGCCAATTTAATCATGAAATTTTCCATCATAGTTTTGATCAAATTAAATTCGGGAGGCTGGTTTTGTCATGTGGGCTTTTGTCTTATTGGATTTGGGATTTGGGTTTGGTTTTGGTGGACTTTGAGCATGGGTCATGAGGGGTTGGTTTAGGGTTGGCTTTGGACATGGGTTTGATGTAATTTTGATATGATATCACATGGGCTTAGTGGAGTTTTGAATTTTTCATGTTGGAATCTTAGACTTGGGGTTGGTTAAGTAGATTTTGGCATGTGGCTTCAATTTTGATCTATTTTTGGTTTAAAGTGGACTTGGGATGAATTTAGATTTAAATGTGGGCAATTTTGGACTTTGACTTAAAATTGGGTGGAATTGGATTTGATTTTGAATTTAGGTGGATTTGGTAGCTTACATTGATTTTGGTGGATTTTTAAGTGAAATTGGGGATTTTGATATTTTTGGATAACTGAGGTGAAAATTTTGGTAATTTGGGTAATTTTGGAATTTTTTGAGAAGTTTGGCAAATTTCGGTTGATTTAGGTGGAAATTTTACAATTTTGGAATTTTCCTAATATTGGGGAATTTGGTAATTTTGGATTTTGGGTGGATTTATTGTTGTGAAGGTAGTGATGGAGTCTGAGGTGTGGTGACGTGTAGTGTTGAGGAGTATGAGTGTAGTACTAGTACGAGTGAGGTTATTCGTAGTGCCTCATGGTCCTATGGGAACTCTTTTCTTGTTTCATCATATTGGTCTAAACTAACTCAACCAAGTGTTGAGGGTTCAAGACCACCCATGTGAGAATTCAAAAGAGTGCCAAGAGGTAGCTAGAATTCTTAAGTGAGGTGGGTCTCATTACTAGTTTTCTAGGATAGTCAAAAGGAAAATTCTATAGTTAGATAATAAGTTCTATGAGGGAAACCACACCTCACCAAAATGAGGTCAACAACTAGGGCGTAGATGCAGAGGCATAGAGGGGAAAAATAGCTAAAAAATGCAGACCGCGTGGTTGAACCCGCAGCCCGCATTTACGGGCACATCCTCAAAGATGCTTGCCGTCAAAACCAAACAAAAAAAATATATTTTACCAACCACGCAACAGCCTTGTCAATGCACCAAACAAATCCTTAGAAAGAAAACTCAACACATTTAAAAGGTAAATGCTAAGGTTAAAAATACTATCATTTTACCTTTTAAAAAAGTTAAATGCATTTTTTCATGCTTGCAAAAAAGTGATAAATATAATGAATCAAAAGCATTAAATCTAGAAGAGAAAATCCTAAATTCCAAACCATTATTTGGAATGAAAAAAAAAATAGAACTCACAGGGTAGCTTCAAATTAATCGTGAATTTTCATTGAGGTTTAATAAATCTAAAGTGATATTCAACCACAGAAAACATGGCTGTTGAAAGTAAATCCATTGACAATTTAATCACAAAGCTTGTTATTGCAATTTAGTTCCTTTGGATCACTGAAATTCTCCCTTTTTCTTATAGGACTAAAAGACAACATTAAACGGACAACTCACCAATATGATTCCATCAACACGTAAATTATGCAAATTAGATGACTATAAAGGCTTGAACCACATGATCCAAAGTAAATCAACCTTGAATTGAGTTTGCCTATAGAAGCAATTGTAGGTTAGCTAGCCTCCTAGTAAGAAAGTTTACTATTCAGGTAGAAATGTGATAAATGCCCAGTACTTGAAGTGAAAAAAATTAAATAAAACTCATTTATTTCTAAAAAATCCCCTTTTTCACAAAAGCGAACTCTACAAAAACCTTTCATGACATTTCTATTAAAGAAAAAAAAGCAACATTTCCTTCAAAAAAATTGTTGAATAAGTGAGTAATCTCGCCAATACACTTTCCCGAAAGACAAAAACCTTACTGATGAGCGTGTCAAAAAAAAAAAAAAAAACTGAGTGACGGGCTGAAGGTCTGCACAAACAAGATAATGAGAGATCTAACCTTCACCAAAAGAGGCCTTAGTTGAATTGCCATAGAGAGAAACAAGTTGGAGGCAAGAGCTAAACTATCGCGCAACAGAAGGGATGGAGTTGACCTTGAGTTGGAGCCGAGCTACTACACAGGAGAAGGCAGGAGAAGGGAGGGAGAAAGGGGATAGGTGTTGGAAAAAGGTGTGCAGAAAGGAGACAACACTATGTACATAGCAGGCCAGATTTCAACAAAGATGGGGAAGGAATTGGCGCGAGAGACGAAAGCGAACTAGAGAGGCTTTTGGTGGCTAAGAGGATGAGTTTTAGGTTTTAGGCGGTTGTTTTTGAAATATTTAAAGTTTCGGCCTTTATTTTGTTATTTATAAAATTTTATGTGATGGTTAGCTAAAAACCTAGTTTTTAAATTCTTGCTTAAATGTTAAAGTTTATGATGAAATCTTAGCTCATTTTTTTTTTTCATTTTATTAAAGTTTTTATGGAAATTTACATACGTGGCACCTAATTCTTATGCACTTATCTCACAACCAAACTTTTATTTTTACAAACTAAATGCCTTATCTTATGTTTGAAAATGTGTAAGAAAATATGGATTATATTTTTTTCCATAAGAAGGATGCTTTGGATGTAAAAGTTAAAGTTTGTATGTGAGATAGTAAATACATAAGAATTGAGTGCATGGATGTAAATTTAAGAATGGGGTGCTATGCATGTAAATTCCCTAGTTTTCATTTCATAGTGACATAAATACATCAGTTCAATAATTAAAGAAATCACTCCAAAGTTCCGTTTGACTCAGCTTATTTGTGTGTTTGGCATTTTTAAAAATGTCGCTTGGGCGTTTGTTTCCTGCATTTAGAATGCTTATTCGAAACATGTGTTTGACGTCGTTTAATAAATGCGGCAGCGAGATCGTCCCCACGAGCAGCTTCTTAGATCTCGCTTCAAGGATTTGTTTCCTCCCATGCCCTTTTATCCATCTCCTCCCTCACTAGACCATATTGCCCTAAGTCACTCTTCCCTCGCCTCTCCCTCAGTTGTTCCTATCGACAGATCTCAACTTTCTCATTCCTCTCTTTTCCGAGATCCCCTTGTTGGCTTCCCTCACCTCCATTCACGACGTTCCGTGTCCTGCTAGTATCATCTTATATTCTTCCTCTTTTTAATCACTCTCCTACAATGAAAGCCGGTCATCTGGACCTCTCTAATGCCGTGCTTTCCTTCTCTTAACCATAACTATGATATGAAAATAAGGGTTTGGGCCTCAACACACTCTGAATTTGGCACCTTTAGCTTCAAGCATTTTATTTTATTTTTACTGCATTTCAATGGACATGCCATCCTGTTGAGCTCAAATATTGAAGTATTTGTAGTAGATTTATGTTACGATTGCTTGTTGGTGAGCTGACTCAATTTTTCTAGTTGTGAACACCCTAAAGCAATGTTTTTCTATATGCATTTTGCAGGGTTTTTCATTGTAATGATTAAGTTTCTGAGTTTTCCGATTTTGTGAATTTCTTTAGGATATTTTTTGTTTTTTGAATATATTGAAGTAATTGGGTGCTATGACAGTTCTGTTGCAAACAACATTATTGCACAAAAATATAATTGTTATTTATCCATAAATAACTACAAAACAGTTGTTTTCCAATAAAATAACAATTTTTAATAGCACAAATCAAATAAATAGTTTGTTTATTCAGATCAGCTAATGATCAATAACTTATCTGAATCAGTTGCTGTAGCCGCCTTAAATAGATCCTAAATAATAAGTAATTATTACATCACAACATCTTATATAAATTTGCATTAACAGATGACCATGTGACAATATATATCTAGTGACATAGAAGATGCCGGGGATGCCACGTAAGTGGAGTAGCGGGTGACGGAAAATATTAAAAATAACCTGAAGCCCCACTTCCCTGTGAATTCCCGATCTAATAATTTTTCCATTTACGCTTCGTCTTCCTCCCGTCTTCGCTGCTCTTGAATCGTAAAGCTTAGCAAAATTTTTATTTTCACACTCCTTTAAACCCTAGATTTTGATCCCTTTTTTTGGTTCTCTTCCATCGATCGTTTTCGCGGAATATTGTGCGGAAATTTGATCTCCTGCTGCAAATTTATTTATTACTGGATTTATTCTATGTTGAGTCTCCGGGGAGAGTGAGGCAGCGATAGCTTTGTTTTTATTTTTGATTTCTCATTAGGGTTCTGGGGTTTGATAAAATTGGTGTTATTGAGTTACCGTCAACTATTTGTACCCGGTCATGGAGACCCGCGTAGGGAACAAGTTTCGGGTTGGTCGGAAAATTGGGAGCGGATCTTTTGGGGAGATCTATTTAGGTCAATCGAAGTCATTAGCCCTGCTACTCTCTCTCTCTCTCTTGTTTTGTTTTTGTTTTTTCCGTGTACTATTGGAGTGACTTCCCTTTATGGCAACTTAATCGCAAGTTTTTGTCTGCTGCTGGCTACAGGTACTAATGTGCAAACGAATGAAGAGGTCGCCATTAAATTTGTGAGTAATTCGATTTTTTATTTAATCGGTACTTTTTTAATGGTGATAGGTTTGGCGCACAGCTTGCCTATTTTATCTTTCTGATAGATCTTTTAGTCTGCAAAATAGTTGGTTTCTTGTTGTAAAGTGACCTTATCCTGTGGAACTGTTGATTAGGCAGGTTGAAGATTTTGGCTATTTCTTATTATCTTGCAATTAAGTAAAACTGACTGAGTTTGATAAGTTGTTAGTGAATGAAATCCGAGTTTCCACTTCTGGCGCTGTATTGAGGCTGAAACTTTTCCTGAAATTACTTTTATGAACTATTGGGAAGTTACTTTACTTGAAGGTTGACCAGTTGTGATTAATTTTTCTCTTGCTAAACTTGACTTCTCACTAATCTATCACTGGAGTGTGGCACCATTTGCGTCTTTGTTGTAACTTATGATCAACTTAAATATCTTTATGTTTGCAGTAATAGGACGGGAGAAGCCAATCTCTACTTCAGAAATGACACGAGATGATGGGAAAAACCTCTCAAAGCATGAGAGAAGATACATTGAACAAATCTATATTATTAAATACATAACAGGGGCTGGAAAAATAGTTCAAAAAGAAAGAGACATTTACATACATAGCACACAATTCTTATATATATACATATTTCACACCCAAACATTCATATTTACACACATAGCATTCAAATTTTTAGGGGTTGTTTGATAGCGTCTTTTAATAAAATTTATCGCTGGATTTATTAAATCCAGCCAAATGGTAAAATGCTGTTCCAATGATTTATGAATTTTCAGTTTTAGGATCTCCAATTTTGCCTTTGATTCAACTTAAATCTCAAGTTTCAATGGATTTACGGATTTACTAAATACTACTAATGCTAAATCCTATTTGTAGCCAAGCAATCCTTTAACATTACATAAAAAATAGCATTGTTACCACTTTTTAAAAGGGAAATACATATTTTCAGACGCAGGTTTAAAGAACCAATGTTCTATCTATGTAAATATAAAAGTTGAAGTGTGAGATATGTAAATACATAAGAATTGTGTGTTAAATGTGTAAATTTCCTGCTACTGCCCTAAAAAATAGGAAATATACTTTCAACAAACAATAGCAAGGGATTTAATCAAGATAAATCTAGCTAAAGTTTACTGGAAAGTACTTTTAGGGATCAATTGAGCTCGCCAACTGTAGTGTCAAGCTTATATTTGCAACAAAAACAATACACCTTTGTCCCTCTAATTGGGTTCAACTACATGAATCCTTGTTCTCCATTGTGTCCTATTGAATGTCATATTTTCTTTTAATTCTGATAAATTAATATCATTTTTATACAACATTTCCAAGTCTTTTTAGGTCTACTTCTTCCTTTCTTAATATAAGTCAAATTTAAAACATCTACCCTCCTAACAAGATTATCAGATGGTCGACATTTAACATGACCAAACCATCTAAGACAACTCTCTAATCTTGTTTGTAACTGGAGCTGCTCAAAACCTTTTACGGATATATTCGTTTCACATTTTGTTTCTAAGTGTAGAATCACTCATTCGCCTGAGCTTTCTCATTTTAACAACACTTAACTTAATTTTATGGTTCTTTTTTACATGCCAACATTTAGCACCACAAAGCACTACAGGTCTCACCACTATCTTATAAAATTTTTCTTTAAATCAAAGCAGTACTTTACTATCACACAATAGACCGATGCATTCCTCCACTTCAATCATCCAACTTAAATTCTACTAATAACATCCCCATCTATATCACCTTCACTTTTGAACAATAGATCCGAGATATCTAAAACATTCATTCGTTTTAATGATTTGATCACCAATTGTTACAACACCCCCACTACATCAATTACTATGAAAATTACATTCCATGTATTCAGTTTTAGTTCTATTCAGACAAAAGCCTTTAGATTCTAAAGTTGACCTTCATAAATCAAGTTTTTTCTGAACTTGTCTTCAGTCGTTTCCAAAAGAAGGATATCATCAATGAAAAACATACACCAAGGTACATCTCTTGTAAATGTCTGCTGAGAACATCCAAATTTATATGACATGTTACCACCTACACGAATATATTGTGATTTGGCTGACTGCTCAGTCAATGTGGCATGTCACCACCTTGTTAAGATTATTGTAATACTTTATTCTGCCCGACTTCATTTTAGAAAGTTTAGTTTAATGATTTATTTATTTTTGTGGAAGTTTTTGTTCTCTTAAATTCCGTTATTTGCATGCTATAACCATTTATTATGTGTTCTATTGCTTCCCTATAGTTCATTGTTTAGCTTAATATCCATTCAGTTTCTGAATATGGATATAATTTTTTTTTTCAAATGAGTAATGCATAATGTTAATTTTTTTTTTAAATATTTAATATTTTCTTTAGTTGAGTTTCAATTCATTCTTAAATATCTTGTATATGCTTCCCTTTATTAGTTTTTGAATTATTGGAACATTCTTATAATTTGTTAGAATAAAATAATGGCATTTATGTACCTTTTTTTTTATCCATATCACATTTCATCTTTTAACATATGTTTACAATTTTTACTTATCTTGTTTTGATTGATGAAAATTATGCGACTATTCTCAGGAAAATATCAAAACAAAACACCCTCAGTTGTTATATGAATCAAAGCTGTACAGAATCCTGCAAGGAGGAAGTACTGCTGTGCTTTTAATTTAAATTTGTCTAGAATTTTTAAAACGTTTTGGCATCTTGATTGCATTTTTCTTGGTTTCTTCTGTTGCAGCTGGGATTCCCAATGTGAGATGGTTTGGTGTTGAAGGCGAGTATAATGTTTTGGTGATGGATTTATTGGGGAAAAGTCTGGAAGATCTTTTTAATAACTGCAGCAGGAAGCTGACCTTGAAAACTGTTCTGATGCTTGCAGACCAGATGGTTTAGTTCCAATTCTCTACAGCTGCTGCAAATTTATTTTTTTTCTAATTTACCAACATATTTCTGCTCCTTTTATTCTTCTCTTATCAGATAAATCGAATTGAATTTGTTCATTCTAGATCTTTTTTACATCGAGATATAAAGCCAGATAATTTTCTTATGGGTCTGGGTAGGAGAGAAAATCAGGTTAGCCTTTCGGTTGAACTATTGCTTAGCTTCTAGTTTAGATGGAATGTGCTATGGGATTCAATTTCTTTCTCGAGAATGTTTTCTTTGTAGGTTTACGTTATTGATTTTGGCCTTGCAAAGAAGTACAGAGATTCTTCAACCCACCAACATATTCCATACAGGTAGACATGTTGTTTATCGTTTTTTTGATAGTTTGCTTCTTGTTTGGGTATCATCTGTAATATTTTATTTTTACTATTTTATGTTAGTTTCTGTCATAGTTCTTTGATATTGATTGTGCTGTAGCTTAGCTTTTTTATCTTGCTAGTTTTGTGTTAATAGTTATGATTTGTTCATAGTTTTTATTTATTTATTTATTGTGTCAGAACATTTTGCGAGTATAGGATCGGCTAGCAATGATTTCGTGATATAAATTGCATAATTAGCATATAGGTTTCGGAACATATTTTATCAGCATCTGGCATAACTTGTTAGAATAAGAATTTGTGGATTTTGCCAATTGCATCTGATTGGTAGCCTTCATATACTAGGGATTTGAGGATTGACTTGGATATGTGGCAAATAGAAAGAAAACATGAATCCTATCCATAATATCAGAATCGTATGTCCATCTATACAATCATATACACCTCTAGCAAATACATATAGAAAATGGAAATTATCTTTAAACAACAATCATAGAAAACTATCATAACATTTCCAATCATGCATCTCCATCCAAAACCTCATCATCATTATCACCATCCTCTGCTTCCATGAGCTGAGCTAAGTCCCCGTATAACTTGAATGGTGGGACAGTAGGGAATTTACAAGATCAGGCCTAGTGTTCCATTGGCATCGTCGATATAGCTCTTGCTCAGCTGCATGATACTGGGCCAAGTACTAATACTGCCACTAGTGTTGCTCTGTAATGAATAAATCTATCACTCAAATCTTGCAACTCCCATTGCATTATGGTCGAGTCCTGGGAGAGGATGTTGAGATGTTCTAAACGAGTAGCCATAGAAATTGATGGTTTGGGGTCTAGAGGAACTCTTCTTTCTCTCAAAAGAAGTCTTGTTATTGTCGCCTATAACTTTCTTTGTGATTGATCTCAAAAGGTAAAATTGCTCCTCCCAACTTTCATATTTAACCTCAACCTTCACACACAAAAACCACCTATTGAGTGCCCTAAACCTATGGTTAACCCTCATAGAATATTATAAATGGAGATCTAATCAACTTACGGATATCGATGGAATTTTGCCTTAAATTTAGACCGTGAATTTACTAGAAATTTGAAGGAAAAGAAATGAGAAGAGAAATTGAGTGGATTAATTAAAGATTTTAAAAGAACAAAAAGAATGTGAAGAAAATCTCATCTCTAAACCTAGGAAATCCTAGGATCTCCTTTAGCTTCCTCCTCCTTATCCTCTCTTATTATGACTATGGCAAGGGAAAATGGCGAGTGGGCAATAGGAATGAATTGTCATGATAGACTCACACTTGATCATAAAAAAATTTCTTGTTTTGAGTAGAGTTGAGGTGCTTGAAGTAGCGTTGAGGCGTGGCTCAACGAGGGAGCTCCTAGGTGCTAGCTTGAGTGAGGCAACGCCTATGATTTGGATGATGCATGGTGCACTAGATTTGAGCTCTAGGGGTTGGAAAAATATGCTTCTTATATTTTTAAAACCTGTAAAGCACACCAATCTCACCAATAGCTTCCTAATAAGTAAAACAAATCAAGTGCACAAACACTTAGACATATTAAACAAAGGCAACATATAACAACTGCAAAGCAAATGAACAATCAACACGCAAGATAATGCTTGGGTTTGTCTCACAAGTAGCGCTTGATGTAGTGTCTTCAGCCATACAGTGTCAACTCGACTAATTTGGCTGATCCAAGGGTAGGGTTTCTTTAAGGTCAATCTTATTACCTCCTAAATACAACTTCAATCTCTGGCCATATCTTAAAAACTTGGGCAATTTTTCTACCTTCAATATTGACAAATCTAAAAGGATACACCAGCCCTGACCATATGAACTTAATTTTTCCTGGAAATAATCTTAATATGAATTGCATAGCAAAACCTCTTGTCCTGGTTAAAAATTTTTCCCAATGAGCTTATGATTATGCAAGTTCTTCATCTTTTCTTTATAAATCTTAGTATTTCATAAGCTTTATCTATAGTCTCTTATAATTCTTTTCTTTATAAATCTTGGTATTATAAGCTTCATCTCAAATCTTTTCTAAATCGTTCAACTCTTGTAATCTTTTCTCTGCCTAATCTTTTAGATTATAATTGAATGCATTAATCGTCCAATAGGCTTTATGTTATAATTCAACAGACAAATGATAAACTTTACAAAAAATTAACTTATATGAGTACATAACTATGTGTGTCTTATAAGCTGTTACATAGACCTATAACACATCATTTAGTCTCAAAGACCAGTCATTTTCACTGGGATTAACATTTTTTTTTAGAATTCTCTTAATTTTTTATTAGACATGTTTGCTAATCCATTAGTATTGGAATGATAAGCATTAGAGATCATATATTTGATCCCATATCTTGCTACTAATATCTCTATTCTTTTATTGAAAAAAAGATATTCCCCATCATCACCCTAGGTGCCAAATCTGTTGAAAATATAATTCTTTAAAAATTTCTGAACACTCTAAGAATTACATTTAGGAAGAGCTAGAACTTCTATCCACTTTGAGACATAGTTCACTACTATCAAAATATATAGATCTCCCAACGAAGACAAAAACGATCTCATAAACTGAATCCCCCAAACATAAAAAATCTCCACTCTCAAAATAAAATTCAAGGGTATTTCATCTATTCTAGAAATATTACCTTACATAACATTTACATCCTTTAGACCAGGTAGACGAGTAAAATCTAAATTGTAAAATCTTAAAAACTGTTTTTAAGCTTCCAAAATACCTTCCAAACTCTAAATTTTGATAAAATTTTATGATTTCATCGATCTCTTTCAAATGGACACACCTAATGATTTGATCGTTATACTTCCTAAAGAGGCAAGGTTCATCCCAATAGTAGAATCTGACATCAAAAATGATTTCTTAAGGTGGTATGTTAGATTGTATGAAATTATGCTACTGACAATGAAATTTATGATATTTGCATGCCAAGAAATGTTCTCATAAAAAATGACAAGGAGCTGCTCTTTAAGAAAGCTTTTATTAATTCCAACAAGGGAATCTTCTGAGTTTTTCTGCACAAACCTAGACAAGTGGTCCTTTTCCTGTTTTTGCGTACCTTTCCTGTCCACAATCTCAATATCAAATTTTTGTTGCGAGAGGTCCCATCTGATCAAACGGAACTTGGCGTTCTTCTTTGTCACAAAATATTTGATGACAGAGTATTGAGTGTTAATCTTGACTTCGGTACCAATCTAGTGGGACCTAAATTTTTCGAATGCATATACTATCGCCAATAGTTCTTTTTCAGTAGTGGTGTAATTTTTTGAAACTTCATTAATTTTCCTACCAGCATAATATATATAACATGAAAAATCTTCTCTTTTTTGGCCTAATATCACTCCTACAATATATTCACTAGCGTCGCTGTCGGCGTTTAAAAAAGGGGGGGAGTTACGTTT